TGGAGAGATGAAGATTACGATCTTTCCTCAGTAGTTTTCCTCAGTGTGCGAAAGTCTGTGAAGTAAAAAAAATGCTCTGCATTTTTACAGAAATCTGCAATTTGAGCAAAAAAATTGCTGCCAATCACGACCAGACGGTGTAAAATATCAATTAAATATGAAAAGTTACAAAAATTCCATGCAGGAGGGCGCAATTTCAAATCCAACAATATTTTCATAAAAAGCTGTCCCCAAAACATAATAGTCGATTAAATATCGATTAAATCTAAAAAGTTGCAAGAAGTCGATTTTATTAATTTAGCTGTCAAAGAAATCTATAATAAAACAGTTAGTAGCTAAATGATGGGCATATTTAGCGCAGCTAATTTTAGCTGTTTAGCTGAAGGTGAGCTAGCTAAAAACAAAAAAAAAAAAAGATAGCTAACGCCCAACTCTGGTAATAATGACTAATCATAATCGAAAGTTTATATTGGGCAAAAATGATTAGCATGGAGCCGACGATATGTAAAATGTAATATTATAAATTTTACTGTTTTGGTTATCACCCATCGCAGATTATCCTATTGGTATCTTTTCGGATTCTTTATTTCCATTGTCTAGAGTTCTAGGCAATCTTCATCTAGATATTTCTTGGTAGGCCAGGCCAGCTGAGCGTTATCTTTTAAATATGTTCTTTAATGTTTTTGGAGAGGGTCGAAAGTGTACTCTTGCAGCTAAAACCTGCACCTCTTCAGGATACACACTCTGGAACGACTTATTGTTAGTGATGTAAAGTAAAGCCATCCGTTGATTCGTACCAACCACTAGCGGGTCCAGGATTTATTTTTGGAGGGAGGACCTGAAAGATTTTTTTTTTCATAAAAATTACGATAGTTGCTTTGGAAAATAAGTAAGAAACTAACTATCTATATGAAATGATGTTTAAGTGATTCCTTAAGACCTTTTAAATGTAATTACACGGAAAATAATATTTTAAGAGATAATTTTTTTTTTTTTTTCATAAAACATGGTTATATTTTCCCATTTTGGGGGAGGGGCTTCAACCCGAACCCCCTTCCCTCCCCCTCCGTAGATCCGTCCGTGGTACCAACTAGCCCTTCTGCCGATGTGTTCTTGAACCATGGACATGTGCATGTTACAGTGAAAAAGGCGATTTGTTTTCAACTGACTTATTTATACAAAGCAAATTAATAAACCTAAATACATAAAACATTAAAAGTTTTTATTGGTTTATTTGTTAGTAATGTATAAATTACTTATAATTATATATGTCTTTATATGAAATATTTTAATAGGAAAGGTATGAGAAGCCTAAATATTTTTCTTTCAGGATCTCTGTTCGATCACTGCAGAAAATCTTTCGGCGTCACCATCTACTGCGGTTAAAATGAAGAACAAACATTCAATCTGGGTAAGTTGATCTCTGAAAAAAATATCATCCTTGAAAGCTGGTCGATATGAATTTAAAAAGTGTCATATTTTTTCTTTACGATCACAATACCATCAAATAAAACTGATCCCACCTGTACTTGCTTCTAACTACCACCTTTGCCAACCGTCCGATGAGATGCTCTTTTCCTTCCAAATTTTACTTTGGCATTTAAAAGTATTAAATTTACTTTCATACTATTTCGCGATAGATAATTGCAAATCCACTAGAGTGTATTATAAAATTCGCTTTCAACTTGTAGCGGTTTTACATCTTATACTCAATTCGATCTCCGATCGAATCTCCTTGCTTATCGATTACACTTAAAGATTGAGAAATATTAAAGTGAGTGACGCCAGTGCAGTGAGTTTTATCATCTAGTCGTATTTATTTTGAACATTTAATTGTGAAGACTTCGCCCGCCGCTTTGACTGCATCCCGAGAGATTCTGCCGTCTCGCGAAGTTCGTACATGACGCAAAATTTATTTTGGTACTTGTCGGTTAGCTGGACAGGACCGTCTGCTATCTGCCAATGTTTATGAACTGAACATTGATAATTCTGATAAGACTTCTCATAATTCCTATCTTCGTATTCATATTGTATTATGTTCATATTATTGAAATTGTAAACAAAAACAAATGGGTATATTCATATATAATATTATCAACAATAAACAATGTGCAATGAATATTATCAACAAATGAATAATATTCAGATATTATTATCATATATACAATGGTTCTGAAATTGTAAACCAAAACGAAAACAAATTTAATAATAACAAAACAGTTTGGTTTGAAATTGAAATAGACAAAAAGAAATGAAATAATAATAAAAAAACAAAACATATGTGCACATAAAAGGAACAACATAAAAACTATAAACAACATATATACAATTTATTTTCACTTCACCTTATTTATTTCGGTAGGCAAAGTAGTTTCGTAACAAAAAATAAACAATGGAATAACTCAGAGCTTGCACGAGATAAGAAAGGAGGTTATGTGAGGTAACATTAGATAACAAGGGTGGTATTTCTCATAATAATATAATTATTAATAGAATCATATAGAATGCCAGGTACAAAATGCGCAGTTGCATCTTGCAACAATAATCTAATTGACACAAAGAAGATGGGAAAGAAAATTTTGTTTCATACTTTTCCAAAGGACACTCGAAGAAAAGATTGGATTTTAAAATTTAAATGTAAAAAAACTAATATTGTAAAAAAATGACTTATCTTTTTCTTAGGAAACAAAATGTAGAAATTAATGAAGAAGTTTAAAATGACTTTCTTTCAAATGACACAAACCCTTTTATAAATCAAATATAATTTCAAGTGTAGAATTTTATGATTTTACATAGAAAAAAATTCAGTTATAAGAGTCCGTAGTATAAGAGAATGAAACGTCACCTAATGGCTGTTTGTGATTAATGTTCTCTTATTTAATTGTAAAGCATATAAACCTACTAAATATAAGCACGTGTCACGAAAAAGCAGCATTTAATTTTTTTATCAAGTCTTCAATAACCAATTAAACAGCAACTTAAAATCTTTCATTTCAAGTATAAAATGAAAGATTTTTACGACAGTTAAGAAAACATAAAATCAAAGGCAAAAAACTTGAGAAAAAAATTACTACATAGGATTACTTATGACATAAAAATGCAATATTTACGAAACTTCACGGAAAGAAAGCGCTTCTTTAATTTTAGATTAAAAACTTTTTCTTTTCTTTTTTTTAAATATTTCTATTATTTTATATTATGTCCTGTATTCATTTGAAATATTTAATAAATATTATTGTAGTATTTTGCAAAAAAATGTTAAATTACATTTTATTTGCTTCAGAATAAATTAAATATCAAATCAACCTTTCTCTCACCTTTAAAATATATTAAAATTAATAAATTAATAAGTTATTTGACAATACAGTATTGATTTAATGTATAAAAGTAAATAATAATCTTAAAATGTCCAGACATACGGACTTGAACTGTGGCAAACAGCTTCTAACATCAAAAGCTTCTAACATCAAACGTATTCAATCCTTTCAATGTAAAGTCCTTCGAACAATAGTTGATGCTCCGTTCTATGTAAATAACAAAATCCTACACCATGACCTTAATATCCCATTTGTCCCAGACCTTATTCCAGAAAAATTCTCCAAATTTCACCAGAACCTAACCTATCATCCAAATCCCCTTGCACAATCTCTATCCAGCACCACCCATCCTTACAATCCTCCTCGAAGGTTGAAGCGGCAGTGGCCCCGAGACCTTCTGTAAATAAGCATCTATTAGAGTTTTGGCAATGGCCAGATCCTCCACTCAAGCCCGAGTGTGTATGATTAGGTTAGTTCTTTTGTTTATATACATTTATTTTATTTTATTGTATTTAATTTTATTTAATTTTATTGTATTTATTTTAATTTTATTTTATTGTACTTATTATTATTAAGTTTCTGTATTATTTTTTTTTTTTATTGTAAATAGAATGTGAGTGTGCTTTCTCTGAACACTATTATAAATGTCCTTGATGTGACAGAATGTAATATTTCTAAATAAACAAAAAAAAAAAAAAAAAAAAAAATGTCCAGAAACAAAGGCCAGAGGATTAAAATCAGTCTATTGGCTACGTCATAGCTCGATTCCTCCCACTATTTTCCCTCAGAGTGAGAGAACCTGGTAGTTTTATTGACCTTGTAAATAACCTACTGTGGCTTGGTCTTGATCCAAAGTGATTGTTCACAATAACATCAGCCAATGAGGTATTACTACAAAAGTTTAACTTGTGTAAATATTCTTTATTTTTATTTCAAGTTGGCATATAATTTATTTGTTTAGAAGAATTTTATTTTATTTTGTGAAGAAGAAACAATTATTTTGTATATTCAAACTGTGAAAAAAAGATTTGTGTTTTATTAATTTGTTAACTTCTCACTTTTATTTATTTATTAACCAGTATCCCACCAAACTTAATAAATCCATACACCGTAGAATGATTGTTTACTTAAGCATTCTTAGACCAACGCCTTTGAAATATAGCTAGCAATATCCTGAACTGAAATATATAATAATTTTCGTTCTTATCATTCCGAATAGTGCAATTACCTTCTACTATGAAGATTCCTCCCTGGACCGCGAACCTCTTGCAGTACCACAATATTTAAATTGTACCCCTTCATCTCGTTCGCAACCGATTTTAACCCCTCTTCTGTATTCCAACTTCTTACATTCCACGTCTCAATACCTAAATCTGTAATTTTCATTTTGCATAATGAATCCCCTAAAGAACGGGGTCCACTAGTAACTTCCGCATTATGAGAGCTTAATCTAAGGGATTACTAGACTAAAGCAATGAGGAATCCATGACTGTATTTAATATTTTGTGGATTAAAGATATGCGACTATGGTGTCCATTCCTACATCACACATCAGCAAGTCTGCATGCTCGCACACTTTGTTTCCATCCTTCATGGTACTCTCCATCACAAAATACCAAATGAGATCAGCGCTAGGTGCTATAGTTCTAAATGATTATTTTTTCTTTTTCTTATTAACGGGGGATGGAACGCAGTACAGGCGCAGTAGTGGAACAAGAGAGGACCAAGTTTAGAGGTCTCCCAACTCAGTATGTAGTGCAGTGCCGATGGACATACACGATGAGCTACTACTTCCAGTCCAAATACGCTGAAGAAAACAATGTTCAGTATTATTTAAAAAACGTTAATTGTTTTAAAAATTAATTAATCAAAATATTTTGTTTAAAAACATTAAATTTTTGTTAAAAAAGAAACTCCATTGGTCGCAAATTGATTTAGCTCAGAATAGACGTAGCAGAGGAGCAACAGAAGCATAGGATTGTATATTGATATCTACCCAGGCGCGTGACTAAAGGTTGATGCCTACCTCGTGTAATTTTTAGTAAAAATGAATATAAATGAATTTTTAATCATTTATTTATTTAATGAGTATGTAAAAAAAAATAATCTTATTTGTGATTGTTTTTATTCCTATTGAAATTCAACCTGCTTGTCGTGGTTTCAATGTTCTCCTTAAATATCAAAGTTTTGTGAAATTCACTCATATTTTTAATTGTGGGTAAATGGTTGACTGTCGTGAATAATGAAGAGAAGAACAGTTGAGGTGATCAGTCAGAAATAAGAAGGCAAAAATAAATGATAATATTTATTTTGACATCTACCGACGTTTCGACCTGATGTACACTGTACTCCATCAACCTTTTGGAAGCAGCCCTGATGAAGGCCTGAACTTCAGGCCTGACTTCTTCACTCATATTTTTATATTTCATCCAAATAAATAAGTTTTGTTCTGATCGAAGAAGAATACTGGTCTTGTTAACTCCGAGCAAACATAAAGTTGAATTTTTCCTATGGATTTTTTATTCCATCCATTTTATGATTGAAAAAATATCTATTAAATATATATCACTACTGTTAGTTTTTTTTTTCTCTTATGCCAGTCGTTGGTCATTCGGCCATCCGACATCTAGCTGCCCAGTATAATTCAGACTTTCTAATATATATATATTTGAAAATATTTTTTCTCTTATGTCCCTCAAGGCAGGACATGCGTCTAGATGGTCTGCATCCATTGTTCCTCGATGACACAATTTACAGCTAGGATCCTCAGCGACGCCTATCTTGTAGAGATGACTCTGCAGATAGTCGTGACCAGTGGCCAGGCGGAAGCAGGCTACTGCATCTCTTCTTGGTAGGTCTGCTGGGATCGGATTATCTTTCAAACACTCATAACGTCTCCCTTATACTTTGCCCAAATGTGCTTTTCTTATTTCTTCCTTCACAACCATCTTTACCATACACTACTGTTAATGCAAAATATCGTATGTAATTTTTTTAAATTTTTGTTCTATCTATGCTTAACACTAAACATACCATAACGGGTCAAATGACCCATTTTGAACTTTTCCATTGAAAATGCACGTATAATTTTATTGCGTTTGCACATTTGACTTCATGACTTTTTATAAGTAATTAATGTACAGTTATAAAAATATTTTTGTTTTGGTTTGTTTTGATTATTCTGAGTAATCCTTGTTGTATACCGATATCTACCACAAAAGGTCATTTGACCCGGAGAGAATTTTTTTGTTTTATGAGATTATCTAGTCATATTTGCAGTCAGTAAGTTCCACATTCTTCCAAAGACTGTTGCGTAAAGTAGTTCAACGGAAATAGCTCAGAATAATTTCAAGAAAATATCAAATTTTAGATTGAAAATAGCGTTTTAGTGTATGAAAAAGTGGCAAAAATTGAAAGTCTTGGTAAGTACCTAGCTTATATTTTATTTTGATAGCTATAGTAATACAGATCATTTTTTACCCAGAAAAATGTCGAAGCAAACAAGACAGTACAAGTTCTTAGAAGATATAAATAATATTGGCGAAGAGTTTTTAGAAATTAGTGAAGATGAATTTTCTGAAAATGAAGATATATCGGTTGCAAATAAAAATGAGTTTGATTCTACAGATACTGACGATGAAGAGGAAAATATTGTGAATGTATGTAGTGGCCGAAAAAGAATAAGATTACTCACAAGTTCGGAAGAAAGTGAAGTAGAAATAAATGAAGAAAATGTTGCGAATGATGGATCTGTTTGGCAACAAATGCAAGTAGGTGGCACACCTGGAAGAGCACCACTTCATACATTTTTGCTTTTGTAATAGAAATGCTCAACATACTATTTTGTTTAATCATAATAAATTTAATTTATATTTTTATTTCCTTCCTAACATCCATATTTCATACATTCAAGCATGAAGCATAAAGTCGGGTCATTTGACCCGCTATGGTAGAAATAGGTATATATTAAGTCTTGGTATGATTAGTATTAAGATGACATTTTGTAGTCTGCAGCTGATATAATGTATATAATTATATGTATATAATATGATATAATTATATAGTCTGCTACAAAATAAAGAATTCCCTATTTTAGTATTCGCTGATGAAAAAAATTCGTGGATATCGAACCCGTACATGTTGAGGGATTACTGAATTTCCGAAAACGTCTTCTCCTAGACATTTTTTACGTGTACGAAAAATTTTAGATTTGAAATATATATATTTTTTAGTCAATGAAAACAGTGAGGAAGCAATACTGTCCTTACTTGGCATACTTTTTTGTTTTCAATTTGTCGCAAATTGATAAATAAGTTTCAAATAAAAATAAATCGTTAAAAAGGTCTCTTATTTGTCGTTTTTGATTGGAGATGGTGCCTTAATTTACTGTAACTAAAAAGAATCAATCTTGATTGATTGTTTCATTTCCTTTTAAAAAATATATTAAAACGTAAGAAATCTTATTTTACAATACCTAAAATTAAGTAAATAATTATTTTATTAATAATTTCACAGAAAATTACGAGACAATTCAATATGTTACCTTATAGCTCTTTTTTATTTTTATATAGAGAATATGTTTTTCATCTGTTTCAGATTTGGAACACGAATCGAACAAAAGTACGAATCAGTTATTTTATATTATAATAATTTATATAGTATATTAGGCAAATTAAACATTATTTTTTATTTTTTTTTAAGTTGTACAAAATATTATTTTTTCGTGATTTTGTTGCAGAAAGAACGAACCAGGAAAACTAAGGACTATTTTAAAATCCGTACGTAAACCCTTCTTTTAATATTGAAAAATGTTTATTTTTAGTTGTTCAGATGACAAGAAAAATTTAAGAGATCTTGGTATCAGCTGTGTTATGTTATTCGTCTATATGTTCAAGCTGAATATAATGAATTAAAAGTTCAAATAAGTTCATTGACAAGAAAGCTAAATTGACATATTAAGCAGACTTTTTTTCTATAACAAATTTTAATATTTCTTGTCGAGACTTCTATTTCAGGAATGAGCTCAAATTGAATAAATGTACTTTGTTATCCTGTATAGACCTTTATTATTCTTATTCTCAAACGGTTTCGATCATTTGACATTCTTCAGTCTTATTTATGATGGTCCTCCACTCTTGATTATCAGAGAATCTTACTCATCATCCAAATCCTCTTGCACAATCTACCACCACTCATCGTAATAATCCTCCCCGAAGGTTGAAACGGCAATGGCTCCAAGACCTTCGTTAATATGTAGATATTGTAGTTCTGGCAATTGTCAGATTCTCCATTCTAGCCATGTAATTAGTATAACAAGGATTATACCCCAGCTCAGCATCCATTTGCTGTTAACACCAATGAGGCGGTTGAAGTTTTGACTTCTCTGAGTTAGGTTAGGTTTTTTTTCTTATGGACATTCAACATCTAACGTCTTAAGTGTTTTGCTTCAGATTAAATTTTCCTTACTATTTGTTTTCTATTAAATGTTATTGAACATATTGTTTTTTTAAGGAAAGCGATCAACGCTTCTTTATTGGTGCGGTTATCTCCCAAAATAGTTTCGAAACTCCGTTCTGGTCCCAGGTTACGAAAAAGCTATCATATCGCGGATAGTTTTGCAAAATATGGCAAATCATCAGCTACATCTAGCATATTTCACATTTTGGAGGTGTAGACCATCGATAAATAACCCATGTGTCATTGGCGTTTGGCCAATCCTCAGTCTGGTGATATCAACTTCTCTTCTGTTTTGTTTTTTTTCGGACAGAAGTATTCCATACTGTTTACTCTCGATACCTTTAGACTTATTTTACCCGTTGATGATTTTATTTTTTATAAAATAGGCCTACCGGTCTCTTCATTTCCTTTAATATACCATGCGATAGTATGACTGGGTCTTTGGAGTCTATGCCATCATAGCTGATAGGGAATCCGTAGATACGAATAATTATTATCTTTGTAATGCATGATGTGGTAGAGTGAGGCACTAATTGTGGAGAATTTTGCAGTTGCTGGTTAAAGTTTGAAGTCTTTATTTGATCATACTGGTGTAAGTTACAATGTTGATACACGCATGGTGGACCGAGTCTAGAGCTGAAAGCGGTTTAGGGTTTCCTATATACATTAGCTAATATACAATTATTTGCTAATACACAACGCTACCATAATCTCATTTAGATCTTATCAAACAGGTAAGACATACTTTTAACACATTTACACTTTTAACTTGCTTGATCTGTCGACACCTCATGAGCATCCAACATTTTATTGTATATATGTAGTAAAATAGTGATTCATAAGATGCATGAAGATTGGCAAATTGGTTAATATTATACAATCGGTATGTCGAAATTCTAAAAATCTTGTTTGGATAATAGACACAGAAACTCTACACTTAGAAATAGTCATAAATTGCTAAACCATGGCAAATTATCTTCCTTCTAGGATTTTTTTTTTTTTTTTTTTTTTTGTCCTCGCCTTTAAGACTATACGGGGGTTTTCCCGGGCCAGGGAGTGTGGGCGGGGATTTAAAAACTCCTCCGGACACCGGGACGCGAACTCGTGACTATTTTTTTTATCAAAGTCTTATTTATCAGGTTGCCGGGCAACGGCGGTGCAGTGCACACGCGTTAGCCCATTCGGCCACTCCGCCCACACTTCCTTCTAGGCTATCATTAAAGATCATTAAGGGAACATCATATCCTGGAACCTGAATTTAAGAGTTTCAACTTCATGTTACAACCTTAATTTTAAGCCACACACTCTTAACAGTGTCTTCCAAAAATACTTTCCTTGCAGCTGCGCTACCTAGACAGGAAGGATACGACCATCTTGATCCTGAGTATTCTGGCGGCCGTGGGTAATGGCTTTCTAGCTCCTTACAACGTGGCCGCCCTCCTTACGCCGCTGCTGACGATATTCATCAAAGTGGAAACCCCTGGCAATGTAAGTACAAAATATTCTTCATGCGATGCTATAATAAATTGGGCGGTTTTGATAATAACTATGAAATTGTGTAGCTACAAAACATCAACGTGACCGAAGAGATTTCAAAATTCACGGACTATGGCTACGATTATTATATGATCGGTTTGATGAATTTTTCATTCGGCTTCGTCCAGGTGAGATCTTATCATTATTGCATATCTTATTTATTTCATTTTGTGTTATATTATATTATATTATATAAATCATAGATTATATCTTGTTTTTTCGATACAGGGGATGGATTAAAAGGCATTTCTTGTGTACTTTTTATCTTGGTTTATTTACACACTTTAATCAATATTTTATTTTTCTGATGTAATATTTACTTACGTCTACTTACATATGTAATTAATAGTAATGGAGAGTATTGCGATATATATATCTATTAAAATAATATATAATCAAAGTAGACTGGTAATTGAAAGTTGTGTGACGCGCGCACCAAATGTTTTAAATAGTTTTTAAAATTCTACCATGTAATCAAAGAAAATCGCGGCCCGGATTGGAGGTGCTTGCGGGCCGTAGTTTGGGGTACTACAATGGCTTAATAATAATAATATAACTAATCTTAATAATAATATAATTAATTATAATATATTATTAAGCCACTATAGTTTGGGGACTCTAGATTAATCGATCTTCTTCCAAACGCATTTTTCCAATCAGAACCAGTGATGCCCAGAAGGAGGTTTCATGGAGCAAGTTGTGTCATCAACATTTTTGAGGGGGGCATGTTACGACTTTTTTTTGTATTTTAAAGGGGGAGGAAGGCAAATTTCAACGGGGTTATGAATTTTCGTAGTAAGAGACAAGGGGAAAAACGTGGAACATACCGCATCAAGTGTGATTGTATATTGTGATTTTTCTAATTCTACCTTAGCTTGCTCTGTTTTTAGGAAGAGGTGAGGAATAATATATCTAGAGAGGAAGGGGGGGGGGAGGGATAACGTCTTCACTTTACTGACGTTATCCCAGGGTGTTCATGGATGACGTAACTTAGGAGACAATATTCCCAAAAATCATGTCAATATCCATTCCTTTTTAATTACTTCGCCTTCTGCTCCCGAATTCTTCGCAATTTGCATGACTTCCAAACAGTTGTTATCTGCTGACATACTAGCATTGAATGGACAGCTGGAAAACCTCTGTTTTAAATCTTCCAGGGAGAATCTGATTTCTTACCACATATACTTTCTAGTTTTTCAATCAGATTTACAATTAGCAATTTTATTATAAATTACTTAAATTTTACATCAAACTTTTATTAAAATTACTATTTTTCGACCCCAGCAGAATGACCAGTCAGAGGTAAGAGGTTTTGCTGTAACCCCAGTACCAATATCAAAAACTCTTTTTTTTTTTTAAATTAAATTTAACTTGAAACACCAAAAACTTTAATTGACACCTTGAGAACTTTCTAACAACTTTTCCATCTGTGATTTTGCATTTTATGTACTGACAAAATTATTTTCAAACTTTAAATTTAAAAAAATATTGCTGGCAAGTTAGATAAGTGTGGTGATGGAGGAGCTATGACTCTTCTATGCGTCAGAGGGCTATAATCATAATATATAATAATTTTGTTAGTTCTATAGAAAATGTATTTCAAAAGATAAAATAATATTTGTAATATACTTCCTTAATGATAACCTTAAAGATCACCATTGAAAGAATAGTTCATAGCATGGTATACCGAGACAGTGCTCTATTTTTAAATAGGAATACAACTTCCTTCTATATTCTCTAGTCTCATATCGGTGAATTAAATTAGACCCCAGAAACATTTTACTGGATTGTCGTCCATATTACGATAATATGATTGTTTATTGATAAACAAACTTTAGATTTACAATACACATTCAACAATTATATACAAAATTTAAATTATTGAAGTAACTATATGCAGAAAATGAGAAACAAATTATTTATATTTTTCAGACACTCTCATCATTAAACAACAGCATTAATAACCGCTTATTTTTTGACAATAGTTTCTAATCTAACTTAATTTGATTTATCAGATCATAGCTTCCGAAACAGTTTCCCGTAACATAATGGCCAAAATTAAGGCTGCCTATCTGTCAAAAATATTGTCGATGGAGCTTGGATGGTGCGATAAATCGCAAGAACAGTTCGTCAACACCATGTCTCAGTAAGTCAATATTAGTTTAACTCATGATAAAGGCGTAGAAAGCATACTAAAAAAAAATGTATTATTACAGACAAAACTTCTTTTAAAATCAATGAAGTTTACAATTGCAAAGCGATAAGTTAAATTTTTGCTGGATTATTAGCTAGTTATTCTGAAGATGAAATACAAAACTATCTGAAAAGGAATATGTCATTCTCTAAAATTTTTATTTATAAAATAAAGATGTTATTCCTTCACCGATGTATTGATAGTTGTATCTCAAAATTGATCTATATCTACGAAGCTGAAAGCTTATTTGGTAATTCCATTTATGCTATAGATATGCAATAAGATTTTAAATTTTAGAAAAATTCTTGCTATAAGTATCTAGAAAAAAAAAATTAATTTGAAATTGTAAAAACAAAAATTGTTAGCTAGATAACTAAAAACTTTCTAGAGAAACCATAGGTAATTATTTGAAAGCTTATGTAATTCTATAAAAAATTAAAGAAAAATCCATTGAATTAGATACATGTTTTAATTTCAGTTAAGTTTTATTCAGATGTTTCCCTTTAACCTTGTCAACTTCAGGTTTTATTTGCATTATAGTTATCCTTATCATAAATATAAGACTCTTATTTGAGTAAATTTAATCTTGGAAAAGAATTTTAATCATCCGAAACCAAGTGTAACAGCTACTAGAATTAGATTATAGAATTTGCTGTAGCCTCAATTTATTTGGAATTATTAAGAGCATTTTAGTGCCAAGAATTAAAAATATTTAAAAAACAAAATGTAATGTTTTTTCTAAATAAAAAATTGTATATATCAATTAACCCCATAGAATTTTAGTGACATCCCTATTAAATAAAATTACATGAAATATAATAATAAACCCCATGGTAAATATGATGATAGACAAATTATTTTTACATTTTTTGTTCTATTTTATTACAGCGACTTACAGAAGATGATGGTATTATTCGACAGTAAGATGACATCTGCGGTAGATATGTTTTCATTTTTCTTCTTTGGTTGTGTGGCTGGCTTTGTCGTATCTTGGAAGGTAGCCATTTTGACCTTTGGGTTGATGTTGATTGCTATAACAGTGATATACTTTATCATGCAAGTAAGCCTCATTTATGGTAATTTTGTAACTTGTGTTATAAAATGGCTTTACCGTATAACTGATCCTTGCATCAAAATATTACAGATTATTAGTCATTCTTACATTCCAATATTGAAATATTGGATTTATATTTGAAATATAAAGTTAAAGTATTAAACAATACTACTAATTAATTGAAAAAATATATAATCCGTAGTCATTATTAATCTCTTCCCCACTCTCCCCGAAGCCTTTTCATCCAAATTAATAAGTTGTAACTACCACTAATTGCCAAATAACTAATTGCCACAAATGATTTCTAGAATTTACATGAACTGACAAACAATAGATATTTTAATGTTAAAATATTAGTCTAAACTAACCATTCAATTCCTCTTTAAAAATTATTGGTTAACAAGTTGATTTGATATCCGTTATTTAATAAAAACTTAGATTGGTTTTAGGTCCTCTAATTAAATATTTTCTTAGTCAAAATATTTAAGAAATTTGAGTTGAATTATACCATAAATTTAATTTTCATAAAGTTTCAGAACAAGTAATAAGTGAATCAATTTGATAGCACATTTACTCATTTTGATAAGCTTTTATCTGAAGCTTTTTTTTTTTTTTTTTTAATTATTACAATTTATAACAAAATTTAGATAATTGGTATAGGTATAGATATATAGGTATAGATATAGATGTAGGTATAGATAATTGGTATAGGTAAATATTGCTTGTAGGCATCAAAGAAGGTAGGAAACTTGAGACAACAATACAATGGAAAATGTACAAAAATCATTTCTGAAGTACTTGGAAATGTCCAGACAGTAAATGCATATGGAGGTGAATATAAAGAAATTAAAAGGTATTATTCATTAAAATATTTATTTATTCTGAATTCATTATTCAATTTTCTAAATATTATGAAAAAAAGTAGGTATATATAAAATAAATCATTGAAGGAAGTTAGTCGACTGTTCTACATATCATGGGTGATAAATATTCAGGACGCAGTATTTAAAAAAAAAAAAAAAATTAATTTATTTTTATTTTTTTTATTAATGCCAACGTTTAAAATCTAAAATGTGGGTCATCTTCAAATACTTGAACACCCTCAGTGCTCAAACCACGTCCTGAAGATGACCCACATGTTTGGGTTGAAACGTTGGCATAAATAAAAAAAAAATTTTTTTTTTTTACAAAAGGCCAGTGTCCTGAATATTTATCACCCATGATAAAATAAATGCAATTTTCAAAAGTTTATTTTTATTTTTTGGTTTACTCGTCCACAAATTAAAATGTCAACTATGAAATCATCTTGAATTAGAGGCAATGTGTTATTTGATATTTAGGTACAAGAGTATATTCAAGATGAGCAATAAATATGGATTAAAACATGCCATACTGATCTCCATAGGAAAAGCATTCAACTATTTACAATTATGCACTTGCTATATGGTAGCTTATTACTTTTCAGTGAGGTTGTACCTTGTAGACGATTTCGATCCTGGCTATATAGCGATTGTAAGTAATTAAACAGGTAATTTAAATTAACTTTGAAGTAAATTTTATTTTAATTTAAGGTTTTAAGTGTGATAGATTAATTAAGCCCACCTAATAGTAAGTTATAGTATAGATTTCCAATCTGATAATCTTTCATTTGATTTAAAATAACGCTCGGGCTTTGCAAATATTACTTTCTTCTTGAGCGGAGAAGTTTTCTTCAATAGTGTACGCGAATGAATATTCTGGTAGATAAAATATAAGAGAACATAAGTTCAGGATTTTTTTTTAAAATTGATAGTCTCTATTTATTTCAAAACTTTATTTGTAGAGAAGCTTTCGGTGTCCGTATTCATATTCACCTCTATAATTATAAGACTCCAATTAGGATAAATTAACAGTTAATTAATAACATTAACAATTCATGTATTACATAATTTTTGAAATATCGTTCAATTATTATCGGATTATGCAATAAAAAAATCTTGACCTAATCAAAGGTTTTAATGGTACAGCTTTTTTTTAATTTAATGTTTTTAATATTTTAATCACTATTTACTAATTATAGGTGTACTCATCAATAATTTTCAAACTAGAGTATATACATGAAAATAATTATTGCTATGTAAAAACAACCTCTACGACAAACGTTGCGAATTTGACAACAAGTACATGATTCTGTTCTGAAAATAACTGGTAGTACCTTCAATATAACGTTGCAATTATAAGATTATTTTAACTACTGGAGTTATCATAGCTCAATAGATACATAATATATGGTTTTAACCTGATTATTCTGATCACAAAAGATAAATGCTTTACAGAACCAATGCAACAAAGAAATTGTAGGACTTGAGTCACTTTTATCTCGACTTAAATACTAACATTGACCTTATAGTTTAATCACATAAACTCACTTAAGGTTTTATAAAGTTTCTTATATTTCTAGATTTTATCAGCTCAAATTAATGCTATATACCACTGCACATATATGCTGAGTACTGTCTTTGAACTCTTCATGGCAACTGATTCAGCTTACAGGGTTATGATGTTCCTTGACAGAGATACCAGCTATAGTGATTCAACTGATCAAGGAATCATACCAAAAACATTTGAGCCCAATATTTCTTTTAAAAATGTTCAATTCTCCTATCCAACAACCTTACATACAAAGGTATATGCTTTACTTCTATTGCTTATAAATATTTGTTTTTAATTTATTTTAATCGTGTTTATAAAAATTTACACACCTAAATTTAAACATTAAGGTTCTCTGTGATCTGACATTGGACATAGAGCCTGGTAAAGTCACAGCCATTGTGGGAACCAGTGGTGCAGGAAAAAGTACCATTGTAAGCCTGATTTCACGCCTTTATGACGTAACTGGTGGGCAGGTATGGATTTTTAAATTATTTTATTATATAAGAATAAAAGTTTAAAGTAATTTTCAAAGTAATTAATAAGTTGTTTTTTTATCAGATACTTGTTGGAGGAGTGGATATGAGGAAACTAAATATATGCTGGTTACGGAATCAAATTGGTGTCGTTGGACAAGAACCTATGCTTTTTGATACTTCAATAGAAGAGAACATCAGATATGGCAAAACTACTGCAACTTTGGAGGAAATCATCGAAGCAGCTAAGATTTCTTATGCTCACGATTTTATAGAGAAATTACCTTCAGTAAGTGTGTTTAATATTTTAAACGTGGTTTGGTCAATAAGTAAAATAATTACATTAACCAGAAGTATGTGTAATTTTAATCTACCTGCATAAGTGTAGCTTACATTCAAATATATTTCAGTTCTATTAATTATTATAATTTTTTAGTATATCCCTCAAAAAACATGTATGAAACTAAATAGAAGGACAATAAGATGTAGATATCAAATTACTACAACACAATGAAAATCAAATTAACTTTTAATAACGGACATTCCAGAATAACAAAATTAATCCACCCTCTTTTTGTTTTTCTTGTGTACGTTTTTGGTAGATTTCTGTATTAAAAAAAAAATTATGTTTTAGTTGAAAATTTTATTTTGTTTTCATATATTAATGTTTATCTTTAATAATATTTAATTATTTATAGTGGTGGAGAAGTAGTTAACTGTAGATAATATGGTTGAGAGATTAGTTGGGGATTTCATTCAGAGAGAAAAAAAATATTTTATTTTATTTTATTGCATCTTCAGGGGTTGTGAAGCAAGTGAAATTAAACTATATATGCAAACACTAAATTATTTATAAATTTTTTCTAATTTTATTTTAAAACCTCTAACCCGAAAGAAAATATATATTATCTTTTTTTCAATAAAAATGTTTAACTTTTGGAAAAATATGTAGATAATATTTGATTTTAATATATGCTTATAGGGTTATGGGTGTATTGCTGGTGAAAAAGGTACAAAATTATCAGGAGGTCAGAAACAAAGAATTGCTATAGCAAGAGCAATGGTCAGAAAGCCGAAAATGCTCATTCTTGATGAAGCCACTTCTGCACTAGATTTATATTCAGAAGGCATTGTACAAAAAGCCCTTGATAACGCCATGCAAGGCAGGACAACCTTGATCATTGCTCACAGAATGTCAACAGTGAGAAAGGCTGATGTAATTTATGCTATAAATGTAAGAGATATATTAACATTTCTTAAGTAAATGTTTAGTAAGTATTACATTTACAGCATTAACGGTGAAACTGTGTATAGGAAGGTCGTGTCGTGGAAAAAGGCTCTCACACTGAACTGATGGATCTCAAAGGTTTTTATTACTCACTAGTAAAGGTTCAGAAACTTGATGAAAAGGACAAAGTTGCCACAATGTAAGAAGGCATTCTTCACTCTTCATCCCAGAGAAGTTACCTTTTATAATTAAAAAAATATCATTAAATCTTTTTAGGGATTTTGCTAACCCGAATATCCCTCCCCCCCAAAAAAAAATAATTTACTTCAAGAACTTAGATATATTCATAAAAAATATATTCAACACAGAACGGAAAAACTCACGTTTTTTAAAGTTTTAGCTATGAGTATTAAATATATTTATTAACATTATCCTACCCATACATTAGATAAGAAAGGGTAGGAAATAAAGTGAGAAATATGGAAATGTGAGGAAAAGTGGCATTCTGATGGCATCTAAAGAAAAGATACTGAACATCTGGAAAGAAAATTTTCTGGAACATCTCAATCAAGGGGACCCCACGAACGAAGAAGAGATGGACTGCACTGAGGACCTCAACTCAGAAAAGGTTGAAAAACCAGATATACTGGATGTAGAAATAGTTATCAAAAGGCTTAAAACAAGAAAGGCTCCAAAGATGGACAACATACCATCAGAACTATTGAAAAATGGGGAAGACGACTTAAGAGCCAAGGTACTACAACTAATCTAGGAAATATGGGAAGAGGAAAGCATACCTGAGGCTTAGAATACTGACGTAATCTGTCCAATCCTGAAGAAAGGCTCCATGTATGAGTGTAATAATTACAGAGGCATAACACTTCTTCCAGTTACCTACAAGATAATGACCAATATATTACTAAACCAGATAAATCTGTATTAAAAAAATATAATAGGCAACCACCAAGCTGGTTTCAGAAAAGGAAGGAATCCACTAGACCAGATCTTCAATCTAAGGCTCTTTCTTTTTACACTGAAGATGCAAGACACAAGTATCTAAAACACTAGACTAGGTAATTGAATGAGATGTTTCATACCGAAGATACATGTGCGTCTAACACACTGGAAGCAAGAGGCACTTACTTCTTGAGAACCAGCCGGCTGGAGATTTCAGCATGCATCTTTGTTTTTCTGTTCTATCATACTCTCCCCTTCCATCCCACCTCTGACTCACCAGACTCTCATGCTTGACTCTTCCAGTTTTCTTTCAGACTTCAATTAGACATTGTGTTCTAAGAATGATTCCATGAGAACCAAAAACTTGATAAATGTCGAAATCTCCATTTTATAATACGCCTGAAACTTTATTGGATGGTTCAGTAATTGCTGAGACACAATAGTAGGGCTATGCTTTGTAGCATTACCCAAGTATGGGTGCTGCCATTAATAATTCCTTCTTTGTCTTTGTCTTCTTCTTACTGCACAGGCAAGATTTATAATTTTGCCTGACGGGATCAATCAGTTCGCAGTGCTTGGGGGTCAGGGATACGATCACATCCAAAGTGAAAGTATCGCAGTCTAGCCAGATCATCACATTTTCAAATAATGTGATAGGTTGTTTCATCCTCCAGGCCACACAGCCTGCAGGTGGAGGCCTCACTTACACCCAGGTTGAAAAGGTGCTTATTTAATTGACAGTGACCAGAATACAATCCTATCACCCGCCTAATGGTATTCCTGTCCATTAGAAGAAGTGAATTGCCTCTTTCATGGCAGGGCCCTGCAAGGAATAATTTAGAATGAATCTGCTCCCTATCCTGTGCCCAGTGTAGCATAAATTTATTGCCCACGATTGTTTTAATATATCTTTTGGCAAAGCCAAGGGTTATCCCACAAATAGGCTCTGCTGCAATCGGCACCTGTGCAGAGCCTTTCCTAGTAAGGTAAGCAGCTTTCTCATTTCCTGGAATTCCCGAATGCCCAGGTACCCATTCCACTCTCACCTTGTTAGTACTACAAAGAAGATTAAGATTGCCTTTGCATTCATCCACTAACTTTGAGCGACTTGCATAACTATTCAGGGCCCCAATTGCCGCCTGACTATCCGTATATATTGTAATCAATCTATTCAGAATGTCCTCCTTAATAAGTGATTGGGCACAGAAATCGATAGCTAAAATCTCGGCTTGAAAGACGGACGTGTATCTACCTAGAGATATCAATATTCCCTCGTTAGGCTTATCCTTTCTCCAGATACCAGCCTCTGATCTCTGCTCCATTAAGGATCCGTCGGTGTAACAGGTAACTCCATTGCATGGTCGATGTGAGTTACTCCTGCTTATATTCAAATTATATATGTCTCTATAATTATCAACTTGAAGGTCAGAGCTCATTGCAAGTACCTCATTACTATCAATCCTATCAAAAGCGATCTCATGTTCCTGAAACGTCAGGAATTTGATCTCGTTCCCAATTTATCCATCCTATAGGCAGTTCTAAGAGCATGTGTGTCTAAATGCATTGGTGTCAGATTCAAAAGAACCTCCATTGCAGTAGTGGGAGTAGTGCTCATAGCTCCCATCGTCATAAGGCATGCGAGCCTTTGAAGCTTGCCAAGCCAATGGGTTCATCTTAGTGACGTGGCCTGCCCATTGCAATCGCAAGAATTTAATACCATCGACCACATCTAAGTAGCTATATAGACTTCTCAGTTCCAGATTAGTTCTTCTTCTCCAGTCTCCATTAACACAGGCAGCCCATAAAGAAAGCATCGTAATCCATAAAAGAGAGAGAAAATAAATATAAACAGAAAGTGCAAGTGGTCCGTGCATCTTTGGTATCAAAGCACTTTTATCAAGATGTAAGACGCAAATGCATTCTGCATTCAGGATGAATACATCTTTGGTCTTGCATGTTCGGTGTGAAATGCCCCTAAAACAATTACTCAAAAAAACGAAGAGAAGTAGCTCAGAACATCCTAGCCCAATTCGTTGATTTTAAAGCAGCATACAATTCTGTGAACAGAAACAGTCTTTGGAACATTACGACTGGACCGGGAGTTCTTAATAAGTTGGTGAGATTGACAAAGGCATAAAAAATTATCCTAAATGTTGTTTCATAATATAAGGAGGAGTATCTGAAGCCTTCAAAGTTAGATGGACTATCACCGATGTTGTTTGTTTTATCCCTGGAGAAGGTGATAAGAACAACATCACACAAAAATGGAATAAATCATAAAATCTTTGGATATGCAGATGATATAGATGTCTTTGGAAGTTATCAAGAGGACATTGAAAAACTCGCTAAGACTCTGATGAGATAGGCAGAGCAAATCAGCGTACCAGTAAGTGAAGACAAAATAAAATATTTGGTAAAAACCTGAAAATTCCATCCCAATAATAGGATTGGCATAGAAGGGAAATTATTCTAGAGAGTCAAAAAATTCAAATACCTTGTTTCATCTATAACCTCAATGGTCAGAAATAGACCAGCGCATAACTAGCACAAACAGAGTTTTTTTCTTCTCCCTTTCGTAGGTATTTAAATGCTGAAAAACTCAAATTAAGGGTGTACAATGCTATGATAAAGTCAGTTCTAATATATGGCTGTGAGACCTGGACACTAACCAGCACACTAGAAAAGTATTGAAAGATTTCAGATAAAATCCTCTACATGATAACTGGAGCAATCTGGGATCAGAGTACTGATATATGGAAAAGAAAGAAATAATAAAATAAAATACAGAAAACAATAAATCAATATCTCAAAATTTGAAGGCACGGATGTTGAGATGGGTGGGGCAAGAAGCTCGTAACTATCCATCTGGGAGCCTCTACATAACAATGAATGACTCAACAGAAGGCAAAAGACCAGGTGAAAAGCCAAAAAGTAGATGGGCAGATAAAATCAACGAAGATGCAATAGAGCTGCCTGCAGATAACTGGAAAGAAATAACCCATACAATTTACCATACAATACTTTTAAGTTATGCCAAAAAAAATATTTTCTTGATAACATTATTCTGCATATTCTTGGAGAAATGCAATACAAATATAAAAATTATTAGAGTTTTCAGTAAAAGAATGTAAGCAAGTTAGAAAATTGTTTGAGCTATTTTGGCACTTCAGTCTATGTAAAAACATGTTTTTCTATAGCTGGACAGAGAGTGACTGATTTGTTTCACAGGTATTTGGTTCCCGGTTCCTTAAACTCTACAAAGAAAAATGAAGCAAAACAAACACAGAGACCTTTTGACTGTAAAATCAGAAACTTTGCGCTTGTTGTAACTATGTTTGACATGTAAAAGTGTTAATATCGTTTAAGTATACTTACTGTGTTTTTAAAATCAACAAATATGGTCGAAATTTACAAAAAATGTTGCTAAAAGTTCAACCCCATCAAAAATGCTTTTAGTAACTTTTCACAATAAACCGACAATATTTTATTTTTTATCTGTATGGTTTTAGAAATGTTAATAAAGACGAATTTTTTGATGAAGACATTGTTGATGACAACAATTTGGAGGTAATATACTTTATTTTTAAGTAATAACATCATAAATCTTCAAAATATTAGCACTATTATTGGTTTTTTTTATTTAGGCATCAGAAAGTATAAAAATGAAGTATAAGAACCTGAGGCTGAATAAGAAAAACTTTAAAACGATAATCGTTTGGTTCCTAGCCGTTTTGTTCACAGTCATCATGTCAGCATTTCTTCCAGTTTTCTTCTATATCTATACAATGTTTTTTCAGGTAATTGTTTTTGATTGACCTGATATTTCTTATCCTTAATGATAAATGAATCTAGTATCTGAATTCTCAGGTCTGCTACATTTGATTCTATTAAATATATTTTATCATATTATCCATAAGCTCTTTAACACCAACAGAAAAAAAAATCATTGTTATTTTATTTACATTGATCTATATATTATATGATTATACTGTTGGTCTCTATACGGGTTTAAAAAGTGGATTTTATATATATATCATTAAAATTTACAGTATGTTTTGCATTAATATATTCCTAATGTACATATATCCTTAAAGTATTATTACAAAGTATTCATTTCTTTAACAAAAAACAAAATAGCCCTATTCTATTATCATTCTGATCTCCTAAAATAATACTTTAGATGCACCATTCATTGTGTATGTTTTTAACATTACGATACCCTCTATCTTTGTCATCCTTTTGATTAAAATTTAATGCCATCTAACTTATGCTCTGTATCTTATTTTTTTAAAATTTATATCCTGATACTTTTGCTTTCAGTCCTACACATATATGAAAGATGAACTGAGCAGGATAGCCTTGATTAATGCTGGTTATATCTTTGGTTTGGGCACCATTGCATTTCTCTCAGCAGTTTTGTCGGTAAGTAATGGTTGTCACACTAAAAAAAAAAAAAATGAATGGAAGTAAAAATAGGAAGTATATATTTAGACAATACGTGTTTATCTAAACGACATGCCATTATAAGTTCTAAAACCACAATGACTTTTCATTAATTCTTTCTTTTGATTAAAATAATGTTAAAGAAAGAATATTTGTAGGTACAAAGTTGTATGGTTCTGTACATATGAGTTTCTTTATAATAATATTTGTTGGTTAATCTAACTGGAAACTTACTATCCTTAAAGTATAGAAATAAATACATTTCCCTTTTAATCTAGGAGTTGTCGAGGTAGGTATTGTTAGTATAATGATCAGAAGGCCTCGACATAGCATGTTCAAATTAAGGTAAAATGACCTAGAGGATGAAGGAAGAGGCTAAGACAAGATGACCTCAAGTGTCAGGAGGAGGAGCACCCAAATCAGTCTTGGCCTGCTGGCTAAGAGATGAGCATTATGGCACCCAGGACACAAACCACTAATGGAGAGATGAGGCTCCAGAATTTGTGGAAAGAAGAAATACTAATGATGGGATGAGTCTCCAGACTTAGTATACAGGAGTACAAGCTACAAGTCGACGGATGAGCATCCAGACCTTGTTTGCAGAGAGAAAAGGATAAAAGGTCAAAGCAGCATAATGAAATAAAAGGTAGATTAAAGTAGAAACTTATATATATATATATATATATATATATATATATATATATATATATATATATATATATATATATATATATATATATATATATATATATATATATATATATATATATAACACACAGACCAATCTACCTCTACCAGGCAGGTCTGGCATCCCGAAGGATGCTATGATTATATCGGCTAGCTGGAGATGTTAAAATTGCTGTTGTTTAAAAGCTTCGATTAGTATACTTTATTACTATAAAACTTTATTATTAAAAAGTATTCAGAAGGAATATAAATATTTACAAGATAGTACTTCATTTTCTTATATTACAATAATAAGAAATAAAAATTTCCATGTACCATGAGTGAGCCCATATATATGTAGCTGCCAGGCAGTGGTCAGGTGAACTAAGGGTTCAGTGTGCGGCAGGCAGATAAACTAGTTCTGGTTCTGCGATAATTTTATTTATATTACATTTCTATTCAAATTTATTTCAAAACTGGTAGATATTTTTATGCTAAGACCAAGCTTCGTTTACTCAGCAACCAGCCCTTATTCTTCAATTTATAAAATCATTTCTCAATATTGCTAATTAATGTTTTATTTTAAGGGTACAATGTCAACTATGGCAACTCAACTTTGGTTGAAAAAACTACAGGTAAAAGCTTTTTATAAAATAGTTTCTATGGACATAAGTTGGTTCGACAGAAGTGGATGCTCGCCTAACGAATGCCTTGAGGTATTGACCAATAGCCCTCCACTCATCGAATCAGTAAGTACAACAGACCATTAATATTCATAATAATAATAATTATAAGAAGCCTTTTTTAAATCTACATATTTTATTTATTTTTATTTTTTATTAACTGAGTATTACAACAATCTGTCGTCACTTGGACATAAGTTATAATGAGGCAGGATAACATTTACACTATATGTACAAAAAAATATAAAAAATACAATATACAATAAATAAAATAAAATAACTTAAAAATAAGAAAATTAAAACAAAGCAAAAAACAAATGCATACCTGTATACACTAGTTATAATAAGGTGAGGGAACTCTGAGGCAGGCTTGTCCCTCCAACTATGGAGGGAAAAGCTGGACTCCAGGAGAACTCTGTGCTACTCTCTCCACCACATCACTGACATTAAAGCAAGCGGAGATTGATTGAGAGCACTTTAGCCACATAATATTTTATTTTAAGATTATTATATATAACGGAACTAAAAAATCAATAAGATAAATAAATTAAATTTTAGGTTGTAATTTGAAAAAAAAAACAAGCATAACAAACTAGCCTATAAATGTTTACCCTATTCATGTACCATCAGAACATAAAATGCCCTAAAACTTAATATGCAGACAAAAGACAATGTATCTCACACCAATAGTCTGATAAAAGACACATTAACTGGAAACACTCTATGATGTCTAAATACAAAATTACATAGAATGATGGAGAATAAATGCAACATATTGAACAGATATTACATATTGCTTAGAGATTATCAATGAAATATTATTATATTTTGTGCCACACTGCTATCAGCAGTATGAAATTGAATAAAGCCCTATTCTTGATGATTAGTTGAAGTATTGTTTCCAACATGTAATATTACAGGTTACAGGAGATAAGGCATCTCAAGTTATCATCTTCATGATTTCATTACTATTTTCCATCGGCTATTCATTCTTCATAAGTACAAGCATAACATTGGCAAACCTCCCCATTATCCTTTTTGTCATTATCATCAACTGCTTCAGAATGAAGTCCAGAGTCACTGACACTAGATCTGCCTCCATTGCGACCAGGTCAACCAAGGTAAAATAGTATAAATATTTAGAATGTTTAATAAATTAAAATAATTTTATTTAAAATTGTATGTATTGCTATGTTTCTGGATATCCACTTTTATAAGGAGGGTAGGGCTGTCAGAAATTGCATTTAAGTGTATTCACTATATTTAATATGTATGTTACTTCATATATTTCTATTTCTATCGGTTTCAATAGGGAACTAATCTAGTTAAAAAAATTCTCTATATACATGTAATATCAGAAGGAGTTGGTCGGGGTGCGGTCAAATTAAATATTATATATTACAATAGTATTTTATTGGATAAGAAATAAAATACTACTATAATATATAGTATACATCATCATCATCATAGTCTATCCTCTTGAACCGCATTAAGCAGTGTGAGGAGGAAGTTTATAGAGCCTTTTCTCTATAAACTTCTTCAACGTCTTCAACAAGATGCCCTCTATCGTTCCATTGAAGACCTCTTCTCTGGAAATCGCTCTTTACTTCATCTTCACATTTCCTTCTAGGCCGTCCTCTTCCTCTCTTGCCGTCTACTTTAGATCAATAGGTTTCGCTAGCTATTCTGTTCGGTTCCATCCGTAGAAGATGTCCTAGCCATCTCAGTCGATTCTTCTCAATCACATCATTGGCCGGTTTAATATTGAGGTTCGACCTGATGGTGGTGTTGCGTACTCTATCTCTTCTCGTTTTCCCATCAATCTTTCGGAGGAATCGCATTTCTGACACTTGTATCCTTGATCGATGTTTCTTTGTCAGCGTCCATGATTCTGAAGAGTACGTTGAAATGGGAAGAAATATCGATCTGAAAACAGCTACTTTTGTTTTCTTTTCCACTTTGCGCCTGTTCTGAAAACCTCTCTTAACTGCCTCAAACATCCTGCTCGCAGCAGGGATTCGCTCAGTCACCTCTGAATCGATGCATCCATTTTCATTAAGGTGTATATAGTATACATATTAAATAAAATTAAAATACTATTATAATATATAGTATACATATTAAATAAAAATAAAATACTATTATAATATATAGTATACATATTAAATAAAAATAAAATACTATTATAATATATACTATTTAATTTGACCACACTTCTGACAAACTCCTTCTCATATTATGATCATGGTCAACCATATCCATACCTTACATGTAGTATAATTAAGAAAGGCTAATAGATATCACAGATCCCCATAACTTGACTGAATTATGGGTGACACTGGATTTCCTTTCCAAAGATATCCATTTAATTATTTAATCTTAATAGTGGCGTGTAGGAAACTGGAAGAATATTATGACTAACTGGTTGCAGGAACATGGTGGAATCTTCAGCTGCTTCCTTCTGGTCACTGTTACCACTTCCATCTCTATTTACCTTATAAATTGCTTTCTCTTTCTTTCCAGCTATCCAGGCATCCATGTTTTTTATTTTTTGATAGGCACTGCTTCCAAATTATTCATTTGATTTCTCCACTTGACATACTTCTCCAAATAACTGAAATTTTCACTCGTCTGACTTCTCCAACTGACTGCTGTTTCTTTTCATTAAAATGTCTTTCCCATTTCTTTCTGGCCTTTCCTTTTGGTCAAATAGTTCTAGAGCAGGACTATTGCTTCTATGAAGTAAGCCAAGTTTATTTTCATGCCACTCTAAGGCAGACTGTCGGGAAGAGACTATATGATAGCTGAGCTTCCGCCATCTGCAAAACTTTTATTGAGAGTTCTACCACTCAGGAAAGGGACTTAGCTCCAAACTCCGCTTCTGGCTCACATTTAAAAGCAATATTCTGTGTCTGCAATATTTAATTTTTTTTCACCATATTTATTTCTAATTCATGAAACCATATTTCAATTCCCTCACCATTAACCCTGGCACATAGCAATATTATAATATTATATCATAAAGGCGGTTTTGATTAATAAGCAACAGAAACTAAAATTTAACATTAATCGGTTATTATCAATGAATTATAATTTAAATCATTATTTTAAAATACATTATTTGCCAGGGACTTGTATATGAGGCTTTCAGTTGACAGAATGACTAACTCCAATTTCAACATATTTGATTATTAATTTTAGTGATATTTCTAGTGAGAAAATGTATACCTTTGTTCATATGTCTGTATGTTAACACTGCTATCACCTATCCTAGGATCAACTTACTCAATGTCTGTACAGATATTATAAATTTTTCTATTAGAAATATCACTAAAATGATAATACTCAAAAATGTTGAAATTGGAGTTAGAAATTCTGTCAAATAAAAGTTGCTCATTATGGTGATTGACATATGATGGTTTCTAATTTCATTAGTGTAACAACTCCAATTCTTGATGTTTGGAATGCCATCTTTTTCAGATCTTTCAAATAAATTTTGATTTCCAAAACGATTGTAATAATGCATTTAACAAAATATCAGTATTTCTTAAAAGTAAATGTTACAAATAATTAATAAACATCTACAAAATCACTGCAATATGTATTGTTATAATTTATTTAAATTCATCTTCCCACTAGGTTGCGATAGAATATGTTCAAAATGTAGATACAATCCAGACACTTAACTGTCAAAAGCATGTCATAAACCAGTATCAGGATATGCTAGCACTTTCTAAGAGGTAAGACAGATTTTCTTTTTGTATAGATTTGAAATTTTTAAACATTAATAAAGTATAAGTTAATTTCTTTGTAGTGAAGCTTTTGTAAGCATTATTTGGTATGCTGTTGTTTATGGTTTGTCAAAGAGTCTGATCCGATTGGCAATGGGAACAACATTTATTGTAGGAGCTGATGACATTGCCTTCGGTAACCTTCGAGGAACATCACTTATTGGGTAGGAATAAATATGAATTATTTGAAAAAAAAAGATTCTATCTTGATAAAGCCAATTTTTAAAAGTATTCAATAAACGATAGGCTCTTGACCCTTGTTATTATATCTAAAGTCCATATTTTTGTATAGAATCATCTCAGCCTTAAGTTTTACATCCATGCTAGCCGGACCTGCCTTGATTTTAATGAGCCAGTACCCAGCAGCGAGGCAAGCATTATCTCGACTCCACAGAATTGCCAATACCAAAACATCTGTCAACATGTTATCAGATAAAGGGATTATTCCAGTAGGTTTAATTGTTTACTAACTATTATAATAAATGTTATTTTTGGTTGAATATTTATAATTTATTAAAATTTCAGGAAATAATCGGAAATATAGTCTTCCATGATGTAATGTTCTCTTATCCAACAAGGGACAAAGTGCTAGTTCTCAAAAAGTTGAATCTTAAGATCGAAGCAGGAAAGACGGTAGCTATAGTAGGGGACTCAGGATGCGGTAAATCGACAATCATCTCACTTCTGGAGAGGTTCTATCTTCCCAATGAAGGGAAAATAGTGAGTTAAATTTTATTTATAAAGATCTTGTTGAATTATTAAATTTTAACTACAATGAATATCTTAAACATTTAAATAATGATATTCAAATTAGTATTTAAAATAAAAAAAGATGAATGAAAACTTAGTGTGATGAATGACGTTTGAAGTTGAATGAAGTTTCCGACAGAAAAACTTCTGAATACAAATCATTTTCTTTATCTATTTATGAAGAAATATATATTATAATAGAAAAAAACAAAAGTAATAAATTATCTAACTATAATAAAATAAGAACTTATTTCTAAACCTAATATTTTATTTTTCAACTTTTCCCCTCAGTTCAATCTCTAAGAATTTTCCTACCTTCTTGTTACTCTTATACTATCCCACTGAGGTTACTAAAATACAGATATATTGTGGAAACAAACAATCGGAAATCGTTAAATAAAACTGAGTTGTACAGATAACATTTAAATTTCAACTTATTTATGAAATTAACTATGAGTTATTTCAAATGAATCAAAATTGAAATATGTATATATATATATGCCCTTAGATATTCAGTTCATATTTTTTTCACTAAATATTTTATTTACTTTTCCCACAGTTCATCGACGGAAATGACATTAATAACATAAACGTGAGGTATTTGAGGAGCCAAATGGGTCTCGTTTCTCAAGAGCCAGTTTTATTTGATATGACAATAAAGGAAAATATTCTATATGGTTTAGAAGAAGAGGTACCTATGGAAAAGATTATAGAAGCTGCGAAAATAGCAAATATTCATAATTTTATTATGAAGCTTCCTCAGGTATTTTATAATACTATGAATGAAATAAGTTCATTCCATTCAGTATTATATCAAATTAGAACTAGTATTTTTTATTTTCTATATATTTGATGTTTCTTAAAACCATTTAAATATACATATAAATCTAAAAAAAAAAATACTACATTTTATTTTGTGATCCACTTTAAGTCTTTAGAGTTATTATGCTCTATTATATACAAATATATTTCCTTATAACATTATGGCGATTTCAGGCTTATGATACTTCAGTTGGAGAAAGAGGTTCAAAATTATCCATGGGTCAGACGCAAAGGATTACAATCGCCAGAGCCGTCCTCAGGAGACCCAAGATATTACTTTTAGACGAACCTACTTCTGCATTGGACACAGAAAATGAGAAAGTATGAATGATTATGATTGTAAAAAAAATTACAATAGTTAAGCTGCTGAATGTAAAAGTGATTGTACATAGTGTGAATGAATTACCCTATCACTATTACTAGCATGCGTCCAGTATAAATGTGACAGAATTTAATATTTCTCAAAAAAGAATTGATTGATTTGTACCGTTGAAAAAAAATGTCACTAATCAAGTTTTTTTTATATTCAAGGCATATAATCAAGATCATACACAGAATATTGACAAGTTTGAGAATACTTAAAATATAATAAAATATCTTTTTCAGTATTTTCAATTCCAATTGCTTTAAAACATTTACAATATCTCACTGAGACATTTGAACCATTTAACTTAAAAAGCGGTCCAGTCGCTTGCTCAATACGTCATCACATATCTTTCAACGGACAGATTAAATTTTATACTGATTTTATACCAACATTTGTCAGTGTTTTGAGGCCAAATTGTATTCAAACACTCGCGGTATCTAACTGGAAATACATACTATTAAACTTTTAGCAAATTGATTAAATGCATTTTTTTCTTGGTGGCCCCAGGAAATGAATCTTGATCTATTTTTCAAGGTACTTCAAGTAGTTACATCTAGGTAGCCTTCAGGGTTTGGCAAAAAGGCCCACTTGCCGGATTAGTTTCCCAACCAGTACCGGTACCAACAATGTTAACTTATATAGTTATAGTACTATTGGGTTTCTCGAAACTTCAGTTTTTTTCTAAAATCACTTTTGCATTCAATGGATCATTTATTGAATTAATAATTATTAGTTATTAATGCATTAGTAAATATGATTGGTTATTTATTAATTATTTTCATGAAAATATAGGCTGTACAGGAAGCTTTGGAGAATGCTTCAGTCGGTAAAACAACTATTGTGATAGCACACCGATTGTCTACGATCCGTAAAGCAGACAAGATAATCATTCTTAAGTCAGGCGAAGTAGCAGAAGAAGGGAGCCATGAAGAGTTGATGGAAAAGAGAGGCCATTATTTCAACCTGTTTAGTAGATGATGTTATTATACAATAACAGCTAAGTCAAGAGTTGTATATAATTAAAATACAGCAAATGTAAATAATGTTTTTTCAATTTTATATTAATAAAAAAATTAAAATAATATTATATTTATTCTGTAACATATCTTATATTATAAGGTACTTTTCTGTTATTACCCACCATTAAAAAAAAAACTAAGTTTTTTAAAAATTATAATTTAAATATGCGGCATAAAAAAATATATGATTACATGTTAAAAAAAAAAAATCATGCATTGTTCAAACGATAAAGATGAATTTGAGAAAATTGTTTAGAGTAGTGTATGATGATAGATCTCCTGTGAAATTTGATCAGGATCACGGTATTATTAAGGAGAGCAAAATGTGTGAATTTGGCCACTCTATGTCAATTAAATGTAGAGTAAACTGAGGTCCACGTTGTAGGTGTTCAAGATATATGTGTCAGTGCAAATGCAGTAAAGGAGAATGATAGATTTGTACTTGTGGAAATCCCTTTGTAGGAAAAGGTATCAAAAAATTTGAAGCACTTTTGCGTTGTATTAAAAATTCCATGGCTCTAAAAAACTGAATAAATATTGTATTTTTGTTACATCACATTTAATAAAGTCATATTTATAAAGTTACATCTTGTTATTTTCTAGGTTAGGAGGTTAGGTTTACTGACAGTAAACATTTTAGTCATTTGTTTAAGTAACTGTTCTTAACCGGGAAATCAATAATAAAGTGATACAAAAATTGACTGGTTTGCGTAAAGTAGAAAAGATTTTTTTTTTTTTTAAAACTTTTATTATGATATTTACAACTGTATTAGTATGAATACATCAAGTAAATTTGTACAGAGAAATATTATTACATGAAACACGCTTGTTGAGAAACTACCCACTGGTAGCACTCTAATAATTTGTCTATATGAGAAGATCACGAGGCCATCTTCTTTTCAGACGCCTCAGAGGGTTATCAGGAATCGAAGAGGAAGCAAGGTTAGAAACAAGAGGATTCGGATGGTTATGAAGTTTATTATGGAAGGATAGGTATCTGGATTTGGCCAAATCGGAAACATATGGAACATTGAGGTCTTTATGGATTATTTTATTAGTGACAAAGTAAGGAGCATTGAGGATTTTATGAAGGATTTCGGATTGTAAGGATTGGATGCGAGAGGAATTCGATGGTTTATTGGAGCCCCATAGCTCAACTCCGTAAGTCCAAATAGGTCTTATTATAGTCAAGTATATGAGTCTTTTGTAATTAATGGTAAGTTTAGAGCGTTTGTCTAGTAAGTGTTGGAGTAGTCGGAAACGTCGAGCGGTTTCTTGTCGTTTCAGTCTGGTATGAGGATTCCAAGTTAGACGTTTGTCCAAATGAAGTCCAAGGTATCGGATTTGTTCAACAGGAATAAGTGGGGTATTATTAAAGGATACTGTGGGACATGAGGTGATAGGTTTACGTCGAAGGGTAAAGGTGATTTGATGGGATTTATTAGAATTTATTTTGATCCTCCAGTTTTGACAAAATTCTTCAAGGCTTGTGATGTGTGATTGAAGAGTTTGGGATGCAATGGTTGGGTCATTATTAACGGATAGGACACATGTATCATTGGCATACGTGGTAATAACAGTGTTAGGATGGGTTGGGATGTCAGCTGTACAAACTGTGTAAAGGATAGGACCAAGAATACTACCTTGAGGAAGAAAAGATTTAATTGTGAATAGTTTAGTTGTAGCAGTGGATTTTTACTTAGCATGAGTAAAAGTAAACTTTTGGAACCACCCTTATTTTAGCTAAGAGGCGAGGAAGGGGTGGAAATAAGATAAAAATAATAAATATCCGGTGTCAAATTGGAGATGGGCGAGTCCATTGTCTGATCCTTGCTTCCCTCAAGAAACGCTGAAGTTCTCAAATTACTAAGAGGAAGGGGTATAACATCAAACATAAATTAATGAAAACAGTCCTACACTATTACTCATGGCTTACAATACTTCGGTTGTGAGTAAGATTATTTCGACATTGGTAACTATTTCGCTAGAATATGAGTTTTATATTATTTTTATTAATGTTACAATATAGAACTTTAATAATGTTGACAACTGATTATCAAGAACTGCTTCATAGACATCGCATTGTTGATAAGCTGTTAAAATTCAAACCTTATTGTATGGATTTCTAAACAACTCCAAAATTGTTTTAAAAAAACATATTAGTAAGGAAAATGTTAAATCTTCGTCATCAGCAAATTAACTTCATTTACCGTTTCGATTACCGAAATTTTGTCTCCTTTAATAAGTTTTATAGCATTTTGAAAAAGATACGCTTGATTGTGTACAAACTCCTGGTACTGCAACATCTGAGTCTTATAAACTGAGTTACAATTGAAGTCGCCATCGTGTGGTAGATGAAGTCTCCTCTGCATTGGAGCGCGGAATGTACTGCACAGGAGTCTTTCTCGACGTTGAACAGGCGTTTGATAAAATGTGATGTACGAACTCCGTAAATTCCTACCACCTATATACTTCCTCATCATCCGTTCCTACCTTACTGACAGATACTTCAAAGTCAATCCTAACAATGCTTATTCATCTCTTTTTACTCAGTTGCCGGTGTTCCTCAAGATAGTATCCTAGGTTTACACAATTTATACAGCTGATATTTCCACCCAATCCAACACTGTCATCACCACCTATGCCGATGACACGTGTATCCTATCTGTTAACAACGATCCATCAATTGCATCCCAACTCTTCAATCACACATCACAAGTCTTGAAAAATGGTGTCAAAACTGGAGAATTAAAATAAATTCCAATAAATCCCATCAAACTACTTTTACTCTTCGTCGTAAACCTATGACTTCCTGTCCTATATTATCCTTCAACAACAGCCCACTTATCCCTGTTGAACAAATCCGATAACTATGCTTCCACCTGGACTAACGCCTCACTTGGAACCCCCATACCAGACTGAAACGACTAGAAACCGCCGTTTTCGACTACTGCAGCACTTACTAGACAAACGCTCTAAACTTCCAACTATTTACAAAAGACTCATATATATTACTATAATAAGGCCTATTTGGACTTACGGGAACGAGTTTTGGAGCTCTACTAAATGTCATGTTACTTATTTCATATTTATTAGTTGTATTTATCCTTTAATATAGTTGTAAATTTCAATAATAAAAAATAGAAAAAAAACGAACAATTGAAGTCGTAAATTAGATGTGAAATACATCATCAAATTATTCTTTCTCAATGTTTAAAACTAAATTCTCTGTCGTTTTTCAGCTGAATACTAGGTCACCTGATTAACATTTGCACCAGAGTCTCATTATGTAAAATCAATTATTGTAATTCCTCACTCCCCGGTCAATGGTGTCCTGTTTTGCTAATGATAAAATCTGGTCACCTTAGTTATGAGACAACTCTAGGACATTAGGGAAAGGGTAATATTATATATATATATATATATATATATATATATATATATATATATATATATATATATATATCATATATTATAACATATATCATATATTATTATAGAGAAGAAAATTGAATATTTTTCATATCCTATAAATGGAGTCTTCAAACAAACAGGTGAATAGTTAACTTGCCAATTTAAGCACCATCAGTGTAGAAAAACCAAGAAAACTTACATGAAAAGAGAAGACACAAAAAACGAAAAGAAGAAAAGAAATTGTTGCTGTAGACATTCCACGAACTAGGAATGGGCGATAGTCGATAGTACCATCATTATTTTAATATTTCATATACTTAAAGTAATAATTTAATAACAAATCTTCGTACTGCTACCCATTTATTGATGTATGAGATATAATGATATTATAACAAAGTCAAAGTTGAATGTTTGATGAAGAAAAAGGTTATTGTATTATGGAAACGCCACATTAAGAAAATAAATGGATAGAAGTGTGAATGCGTGTTTAAAATTATTCCTTTCAGAATAAAAAATTGAACAAAATTCCTTCAAAGTAAAAATAATTCAATCTTAATTTATTTCCTTAGAAATATTTATAAAATTCTAGTTGTGCCGATAGAAAAAAATGTTTCATTAGCTAACCTTTTTTTTTTTCATAAAATATCATATATTTATAAAATCTAAAAGAATTTAGAGTGTTATCATGTTTTAAACTATGTGCAATTATCAAATTAAATTTAGAAATTAAAATTTTGGAAATTATAAAAAACACATTTCTCGCCTTCTTTTTTTTTACCAAATAGTTAAAACAATACTTTCCACATGTCGTCGATGTTTCTTGTTTTAATTCAACAATCAGTGAAATAAATGCAATTTAATGTTCTATATAAATGTAGGTAAACAACAAATCTTTACATATTGACATAGAACAACCAACTATCTACCAACACATAGGTACTCTCTATCCCCGATTTCATCTTAAACTACATGGACACCACAACGGACTTATTAACGACATGACCACAGCTGACATGCCCATCAGAAGATGACTAAAGAGGAGCTGGATGAGAGATCTCCTTTTCAAAATTAGGAAGTAGACCAAGACCAGGAAGAGGTACTGCTGAGTACTAATCTTCCTCAAGCCTTAAATGCCAATTTTATATACAATGAGATCACATCTGGTTATTGTCAATACTATGACAGGTGAAGATATAAGTATGAAGACAGAAATATATATATATATATATTTATATATATATATATATATATATATATATATATATATATATATATATATATATATATATATATATATATAAATGTATTTTTGCCGTAAATAATTTTAAAATTTTTTTATTAGAGCCTTAACATAAATCTTTAAGAATGTATTAAACATAAATGTTAAATAAGATACGAATCCTCAGAGGAATCGGGAAACGGAATCACATCAGCTATTCAGATTCCCACTAAATGTTTAGCATTCATCCAGTGGAAGCTACAAGATGCTGTTGAAAAAATAGAAAATTGAACGAAGTAAACTCGTTTCAAACTATCAGCTACGAAATCCAAAAGTATCCATTTTTGAAGACAACGAAAATGTCTTATAGACCCTCAAATAAAATTAGGAGACTCCATTGTCGAGTATGTAGAAAACTATACATACTTAGGAATGATACTTCATAAGAAGCTGACTTGGGTTCATCATATAAAACAGTTAAGAGACGAATGTACAAAAAGACTAGGACTTCTTAAATGCATTGCTAATTCAAGCTGGGGAGCCGATAGAACGACACTCATCAAAATATACCATAGTGTGATTCGAAGTGAAATTGAATATGGAGCCCAAATATATGGAACAAATCGCAAAACCTTGCTAAAAATACTTTATTCCATCCACTATTCGGCTCTTAGAATCTGCACAGGAGCTTTCCGAACTTCTCCAGTCGAAAGTATACATGCCGAATCTGGAGAACCCTCATTAGAGATGAGACGAATATATTTATGTATAAAATATGTATCCAAATTAAAAGCACGTCCACAACACCCCTTGCGTTCACAACTATTTGATGAAGTACCTGGTAGGCGAGGGCTTAAGGAGATAGAGGGAAGCACATTTAAACAAATGATTTATAAATTTATAAAAACGCTATATGATGTGATCATAGATTTAAACACAAT